ACTAGTAATAGGGGACGGTAAATAGCAATTCACTTTATTTCTTTACCCGCTTTGGAACCCAAATTAAAACACTTGAACCCCAAACTTATGGCTTATCATCAAGATCACCCCAAAATTTAAGCGATTTTGCTCCCGTTGGCCCCTCGTCGCCCGTCGGGCATCAAGTCAACGTCTTCGTCAATGCCCACTTCACTATAACAGCGTCGCCGTTTTACTCTCGGACCATCCACAGAACTCGAACAATGGCGGAACTCAAATCCCTCGCAATTCTCTCCATCATCTTGCTAAATCTGATCTCGATTCTCCCATTCCGAACAGTATCTTTCTCTCCCGATCACCCCACCGATCGCCAGATCCTAGTTCTGCTCGACAGTTTATCCCTCAAGTCATCGCATTCCCTCTTCTTTGCAGCCCTCCAATCCCGCGGATTCAACCTCGATTTCAAGCTCGCCGATGATCCTTCCGTCGCCGTCAAGCGCTATGGCCAGTACTTGTACGACGGCATCATTCTCTTCTCTCCTACAGCTGACCGTAAGTTAGGCATTACGTTGTTCTTTTGTGCATTTGTGTGTTGTTTTGAGCGCCTTGCCTCGAATTGGATTGTCTTCTTGTTTATTGTTTTAAAAATAGTTTCATTTTTGCATCTCTCTCTCTCTCTCTCTCTCTCTCTCTCTCTTGTTTTTATACCCAGCTCTGACGCATGAAGAGTTTGTGTAGGGTTTGGAGGGTCGTTGGATGTGAAGGGGATTTTAGATTTTGTTGATTCGGGCCGTGATTTGATTTTGTCCGCCGATTCGAATGCCTCTGATTTAATTCGGAACATAGCCGCCGAATGCGGTGTAGATTTTGATGAGGTAGGTGATTATTTCCTTCAATTTTGCAATCCTCCATTGTGTGTTTGGTGACCCAGATTGACTAATTGGTGATAATGTGGCAGCTATATGTAATTAAGGATTTGAAGCTCATGAATGATGAATCATATTGATAAGGTTTTGAGGCTTGCAATGTAGCAATTTTTATGCGTTATCAATTATATGCGACGGCCTCACACTGGAATTACATTTTCATTTTATCTGATTGTTACTGAAAAAAAACAACAAACAGTTCAGGAATTTTTCTGGCCTTGCTCTTCAACTACAAATGGTCGTTATTGTGTTGTAAAACATGATATGCATATAATTCTTCTTAAACACTATAGATGTATAATTTGTTGTGCTATTGTAACTATAATGACTTCATAATGAAGAGTCAGATGGTACTGCTGCTGCATCTTTTTTAATACAAATGCATCAGCTCACTTCACTGTTTTAGTTTCCAAAACAATGCCGTAGCTCATATATATCCTGTTTGGTTCTTGCATATATTCTTATGATAGCTCCTATCCAGAAGCATTTAATTCTTTTATGTAGTCACGAACTTTTGTGACGTGCATCAGTTTCCAGTTTTATATATGCTGCAGCTAATGGACCACTGTTGTAGATGGTCTCCATTCTGTTTTTCTACTTCTATTTTTTCTTTTTTCCTTTTACTTAACTGTATTAACTATTTATCCAGTAGTTGTGTTCATTTTTATTTGTTAATTGTCCAGTGTCATTTTTATTTGTCAATTATCCAGTAGTTGTGTTCGTTTTTATTTGTTTTCACACCAATTATTGGTCATGCAGGATCCTTCTGCTATGGTTATCGATCACACTGGTTACGCTGTCTCAGAAAATGCTGGAGACCATACCTTAATTGCTTCTGATAATTTTATTCAGTCTGATGTTATTCTTGGAAGCAGTAAAATAGAGGTCAGTTTATGAGAGGTGTACTGCTACATCTATTTTTGCAGTTGCTGGGGGTCATCATAATCTTTGTTTCATCCCGTACATTTATGTACTTCCTTATTGCTCAATGTTCTATCCCAGAGAATCTGCCACAATGTCAAAATTGTCATCCTTTTCCCCGTTTCCATCTTATGTGCCTTTCGCGAACTATTCATTAGCATCAGTCTCAATAGCCGGCTTACATATATTAATGTTCTTTATGTTTGCGGAACAGGCCCCTGTCCTCTTTAAAGGGATTGGACATTCAGTGAATCCCGAAAATAGCTTGGTAATGTTCAAGCTTATTGTGTCTGCCATTTATTTACTGCTGTGTTTTTTGATGTAACCGAGTTTGAATATGTTTCAGCATACCGACAGGTATATTGTATTGATTGTTTCTTGATCTGTCCTATGTTTTTTTCAGGTTTCGAAGGTTCTTTCTGCATCTTCTTCAGCTTATTCCGCAAATCCAACCTCAGAATTGTTAAACCCTCCACCTCTTACTGGAACAGCTATATCATTAGTTTCGGTTCTCCAGGTTTGCGTGTATTTCCATTTGTCATGCTACACAGAGTGTTAAATATACTTAACCGCATTTTCATTACTTTTAAACTGTCATTTAAATTATAGATTGTGGACTTGCAACATTTTTGCTCTTTGGTAGTTTACTGCATCCAGTTCCATATTTCCATGTGATTTCATTATGATTATGACTTTATTCATTTTCTGTAGTCAAAATCTATTGGGAAAAGAAAAATACTCAAAAATAGTATATATTTGAAGGAGTGAAATGTAATTTGAAATGAGAAAGTGGTGATTTTTCATTCAAGTTCATGAAGTGTTCTCAGACATGGAAAATGACTTGTGTAACACCTGAGAGTAATATATAGGCCTACTTTTGTCTTGTCACTTAGGATAAGTCCCGTAGCAAATCATGGTCTGTGTTAGTGACTGGATAGATAAAGGATGGTAGGGTGACTTAATAGCATGTGTCTCTTGTAAGTGGAGACTTTATGAAGATTTGGAACAATAACCATATCTAAATTCGTGATATATCTACTTAATATTTACGATAATCTTGGTATATCCTGTCCATTCACAGTAGTACACCGTTTCATGTTTCTGACATTGTTTCTAAAATTCCTGTTCGTGATTTGGCACCTTATCATGATTTCAGGCTAGGAATAATGCAAGAGTTATGATATCTGGATCATTGGACTTGTTTAGCAACCAGTAAAGTGTTGCTAAAACCTTTTTCTTTTTCTTTTTCTTTTTCTTTTTGTTTTTTGTTGTTGCATTTATGAAATTGGTCCCTGCAAAACTCACTACCTAAAGAGACTCCTTATGATATGTGTGCATGTTAATTTTAACGCAACAGGTTGTTCAGAGAAGGAGTGCAGAAGAATGGGAGCTTGAAAAAGTTGGTGAAGCTTTTAAGTTTTATCCATGTTCTTTATCTCATTTTGTTCTTTAATATTTACTTATTATTTGAGTTCTTGGGTACAAAATATCCTGTTGAAGAATGTTTTCTGACTTTGCTAATGATTTTTTTTTTTTTTTTTTTTTTTTTTTTTTTTTTTTTNTTTTTTTTATCTATAGTACAGTGTCGAAGTTAGCTTTTAAAGTTTTTCTCTTACTAGGAATAGGTCTATAAGTGTATTATTGAAAAAGATTCTTCCATATATTTGCTAAAAGAGAACCGGTTTATTTTACTCCTGATAGCTACTAACTGATATTAATTTGTTGACAGATATGGAAAATCTGGTAACGAACAATTTGTCGCTGAACTTAGCAAGTGGATATTCCATGAAAGAGGTCATCTGAAGGTGGTCTGCTTATTCATGTGGCGTTGTGATTTCTTCACTTACGTCATAAGAGGTCAAATTACACTCTTCTCTCCAGAAAAAACTTTATTATATAGATATATATCTAATTTTGTAGGCCGTCAACCTGAAGCACAATAAAGTTGGTGAAAGTGAAGAGCCTTCAACGTACAGGATCAATGATGATCTGGTAATGCTAACACCACCCCTGTCCAAATTAGTTATTAAACATAATATAAATTCCAGTATTTGGTATGCCTTTATTTTTATTTCTATTTTTCTGTATGCGTTTCTTCTTTTCTTTCCTTTTTCTTTTTCTTATTCTTCCCTTTGTTGTCAACTTTTTACATATGATGACATCATATTAGGAATTCTCTGTGGAAATCTATGAATGGTCTGGTACTAGTTGGGTCCCGTATGTCGCAAAAGACGTTCAAGTGCAGTTCTACATGATGAGCCCCTATGTCTTGAAAACTTTGTCCACAAACCAGAAGGTATTGTGGTTTGTCCCATGCAAAAAAAAAAAATGTTTACTAGTTTCATGTTATTGGTTACATGATCTTTTTGCATTTGTTGTAGGGACACTATTACACTTCATTCAAGGTACCAGATGTTTATGGAGTTTTCCAGTTTAAGGTCGAGTATCAGAGGCTTGGGTACTCTAGCTTCTCATTGTCGAAACAGGTAAACCACTCTGTGTGTTAACTTCCCAGAAAATTTGTTTATTTTGTAAGACATATTATTTAGGATGTCCAATCTTGTCTCTATTCAAAGACAGCTTAAGCAGCTTCTTTCCATGCAATTGAGAATTTGAGCAACATTATTGCTCCCATTGACAGTTTAGGGTAAATGATAGGAGGTATTCCCATATATTAAAGTACCCTTATAAAGAATATTATGCCTTTATGTTAAGTTCATGATTATACATATGCATTCAGAAATGCAGATATCAAATACTACGACTACTATTGATTTTTGATTGAAAGGAACCAAATTCAGAGGATTTTTATCCCTTGGCCAGCACACTGGTCTATTATTGCTCACTAAAATGTACACAGTTCACACAAAAGACGTATTTGATTTGGTGAAACTAAACAAGGAATATTAATCTCGAAACTCAACTGAGTTTTTCTCATTTTTGTTTTAATTTTGCAGATTCCCGTAAGACCCTTCCGGCACAATGAATATGAGAGATTCATCACAACGGCTTTTCCTTACTATGGTGCTTCATTTTCTACGGTAAATCTCTCTCTCTCTCTCTTTCTCTCTC